TGTCGAAATAACGGCTGTTATTTTGAATTAACTTTGCAGTGTAGACATACCCTTACAGAAGTCTGTGTGGCAGGGAGTTGCAGATAAGAGGGTGCTGATGATTTAAAATAAATCTTTTTATTAAATCATTATGAAATAGAGTTGGACAAGATGGTAGAGCAGGACAATAACAATACATAACTGGACCAAGGGCTGTTTTGTAATTTGCATTCATTTATTCAAATTTTTTGTTTTAGGCTCTGGATGTTGACCGAACTGTTCTTTATAAAATGAAGAAATCAGTAAAAGCTATAAATTTGTCTGGGCTGGGTAAGTACATTTTAATTCCATATGGTTTGTTTCTCTGAAAACTTCTTTGTGTTTGAAGCAAGAATACTTAAACAGTAATCTGTTTACTGCGCAGGAAACTCCTAATGCAGGGAGTGTTTTATGTGCTCCTCCCTTCCAGATATATTCTAGACCAGGGCTGCTCAACCTTGGAAGCCCTGGGGGCCACAGTGATACTCAAGGTACATGCTGAGGGCTGCAACTTAAGTGTGATTGCATGTAAATGCAAATATATATGTAAATATATACAAATAGCTTCTTTCACACTGACGGGCATGATACAAAGATTAAGGCAAAACTACACAACACACAGGCCCCATTTAAGTCAGTTCTGCTGAGATTAATAAAATGCAGTATTTACCCGATTTCCACCCATATGACAGAACTTTTAATGAGCAGTGACAGTCCAGGAATTTAATTACTAAAATGCGTATCAACAGAAGACCATTATATTGACTACTTTTTTGTTTTGGCTCCCACCTGTGGGCTGTGTGGTGAGTAGACCCAAACTGCGTTATGGGCCGCAAACCAATGGGCTGCGGGCTGCATGTGGGCCGTGGGTTGCGTGTTGAATCGCAAACCAATGGGCTGCGGGCTGCATGTGGCCCGTGGGTTGCGTGTTGAAAAGTCCTGTTCTAGACAGTGATTCTGCCCTGGCTGTGAGAGAACTAGATTATTTAATGTTTTGGATTATTTTATTCCCTTTCCCAGCTGTAATTGCTGTGAACTACAAATGAGAACAAATCCAAAGAACTCTAGTCTTCTGTTGCTGGTGACTTATGAAACAAAAAAGTTTTCACCAATTAAGGAGGATAAAAATGCAAAGAAATATCTGTGTGTGCATTGTGTAGGTTAGTGTGAGTGAATGTGTTTATATATTAAGAATATTCCTATTCAGATTGTGATCTACTGTAACTCCCAGTTCTTTTTCAGTAGTATTACCGCCTAACCAATTAGTCCCCATTTTATTGCTGTGCATTTGTTTTTCTTTCTTCTTAAGTCTAGTAATTTCCACGTGTCTTGTTGATTTTAGACCAATTCTCCATTTTAAAGTCTGTTGAATTCTAGTCCTATCTTCCAAAGTGCTTGTGACCTTTCTGAGCTTCATTTCATCCAGTTAGCATACTCTCTGTCTAATGTGTTATCCAAGTAATTAGTGAAAATGGTGAATAATACCAGTCCAGGGCAGATCCCTGTGGGACCCACTAGATATGCCCTCCAGATTGACAGAAAACTATTGATTTAAAAATCATGCTCAAACAGTAATTATCAGTTTTGTACTCACCTTATGTAACTTCATCTAGACCATGTTTTCCTAATTTGCTCATTGAAATGTTATGTGGGACTGTCAAAAGCCCTACTAAAATTAAGATATATATGTCATAGATACATAGGTCCAGTGTTCTGGAAGAGTCCCTTTAGTGTACCAGACCCGGTTAGGGTATTATTCTTTTACTAGGTTAAGCCACTTGGTTTTACCACCTTCTTAGACTTCACACTCTGAGCACTCTGCATCAAGTCCACCTGAAAGAGACTTGTACACCCAAAGGGAGCAATGCACCTCCATCCTCAACACCTGTAATGACTCTCAGAAAGAGACTTGTACACCCAAAGGGAGCAATGCATCTCCATCCTCAGCACCTGTAATGACTCTCAGCCTCCAGCACTGTAAACATAGTAGTGTTTGTTAGATTTCTGGGACATAGCATAAAAAGTGTCCTCTTTGTTCAGATTCCCCAGCCAATCCCACTTGGCCCCTCCTCAGTCCTTTGTAGTCCAGCTGATCAAAAGTGGCTGGCTTCCTGCAGATGGTGTGGGCAGGGTCATTAGTTGCTAAGTAGCAATTGTTCTAGTGTTTAGCTTGCCACTGTCTCCAAGTCTCAACTACCCACCCAGAGAAATAAAAAAGCAAATTGAAAGAGCCAAACGAATACCTAGAAACCATCTACTTCAAGACAGACCCAAGAAAACCAACAATAGAACACCACTTGTCATCACCTACAGCTCCCAACTTAAACCTGTCCAACACATTATCAATAAATTACAGCCTATACTGGAACAGGACACTAAACTCCAAGAAGCTCTGGGAGACAGACCCATAGTCTCCTATAGACAACCACCTAACCTCAAGATGATTCTTACCAACAACCACAGGACATACCACACTAATACCAACCCTGGTACCTTCCCTTGCAACAAACCCCGTTGCCAGCTTTGTCCACATATTCATTCTGCTGATACCATTATTGGACCTAACCAAGTAAGTTATAAGATCAAGAACACATATTCCTGCGCATCCAGAAATATAATCTATGCTATCATGTGCCGAAAGTGTCCGTCTGCTATGTACATTGGACAAACATCTCAGACACTTCGCCAAAGGATTAATGCCCACAAAACAGATATCAGACAAGATCACAAAGAAAAAACAGTTTCTAGTCAGCCATAAGAGGAAATGGAAAACTTTCCATTTAAAATGATAAATGTACACAATAGCTGAAATAGGACTGTGTTAGCCATTTAAAGCCCCAGTCCTTTATAAGCTGCTCGGAATGCCAGCAGGGTCGGATTGAACAAACACTTGAACTATCTTACACATTATCAAGATAGCTTTCCCAATTATCACCTCTAATACCATTAACTCACAAACATCCCACTCTCCCCACCTCTAATATCGTCAATTCACAGACACTTACCTTCCTTCCTCCCCCCCCCCACCCCCCCGCATCCCCCTTCTGTTCTGCAATGTGATTTGTCCTTTTCATATTTGTTCATTTTTTTAAATTGTATCCTTTGGTATATATGGTTGTGACTACTTTCTTCCACTATTTGATCTGAGGAAGTGGGTCTGGCCCACGAAAGCTCATCATCTAATAAACCATCTTGTTAGTCTTTAAAGTGCTACATTGTCCTGCATTTTGCTTCAACTACCCCAGACTAACACGGCTACATTTCTATCAAAAGAAGGGTGATCTTGTGATTGAAGTATAGACTTAAGAGTCAAGAGATTTGGGTTCTCCCCCCAGGGTCTGCGTCAGACCTCTCTCATCACGTTGGTGGTCATTTTAGACAAATTTCTCAAATACTAGTGTCACAAGCCATAGTTGGGGGGCCTTACCCAGATTTGAAAATTGTGCCCTTAAAGAGAATAAGGATGGCTCAGTGGTTAGGATCTTGGCTAGGGATTTGAAAGACCTAGTTTTAATTCCCTGCTCTGCTACAGACTGCTAGTATCACCCTGGCTAAGTTTCTTAGGCTATGTCCAGACTGCAGGCTTCTTTCGGAAGAAGTTTTTCTGGAAGAGACCTTCTGGAAAAACTTCTTTCGGAAGAGAGAGTCCACACAGCAAAAGCGCATTGAAAAACCGATCGGCTTTTTCAAAAGATAGCATCCACATTGATTGGACTCTATCTTGCATTTAAGTTGTGATTACTATGGATGGAATGGCCACCAGGCCCCGCCTCCCTTTGCCTCCCACCGTGGCACTCGGCTGACTTCTGCACCGCTCAGCCAGGCCACCGCGGGGAAGCAAGCGGCCGTTTGGGCCCCGCACTCCCCATGCAGCATGGGCCACCCAGAGGGAACAGCCAGCATTTCAGCAACAGTGCCACCCAGAGGGAACAGCCAGCATTTCAGGCAACAGCGCCCCCCAGAGGGAACAGCCAGCATTTTGGCATTACAGACTCAAACACTGGGCTACTATATATATGATGTTCCTCAGAACACTGGTGTTCCATGAACAACTCACAGGTGTGCCGTGACCTCTTCTTTGATTGTCTTTTTTTGTGTGACAACAATTTTTTTTTTAAGAACATTTTCATAGGTGTTCCACATTAAAAATATATATATATTGTTTGGTGTTCCGTGATCTCAAAAAGTTTAAGAAACACTGATGTAGCATATGAGGGACTTTGAAGCACACACAGTATTCATTCAAAATATTTAGAGGAAATACCTTTTCTGTCACAGTGCCACATCAACTGCTTTCTTCCTATGCACTAAGTCGCTTACCTTGTCAGAAGGAAATTAGTTTTTGGCATTTTTAAAAATCCTTGCAGACTGTTACTTATCACTTTATTTTCTATCTAGGTGCATACAAATTGATAGTTTTAATAGTCGGTTTGTTCTCATCCTGAAGTTCTCAATAATTTGATCCAGAAAGCCACCAAAACTGTAACCTGGGCATGCTGGCTGTAACAAGTAAAGAGTACAGGTTTTACCTCTCTCCTCCAGCACCTTTGGGACCTGACTGGTCCCAAAAGTGGGTCTTTGCCCACGAAAGCTTATGCTCCTACACTTCAGTTAGTCTATAAGGTGCCACAGGACTCCTCGTCGCTTTTGGCTAATTGAGTAGTTGATAAAAATTCACCAACTACTCAATGAGTTAAATACCTGCATTTTAACATCCTAGTCCCTCAGCAGCGACAGCTCCGGGATAACTCCAGTTTGGGTGCCATGGCCCCAGCATGGATCTGCCATGTCTGGGAGGGGAGAGTTTAGGCTTCCGCTCCCACAGCCCAACTACAGTGCTGCCACAGCTGGAGGAGAAGCACAGCTCTCCACTGGTTGAGAACAGAGCTGTGTATAGATTATGGGTGGGACTCCATTTTCAATTGCTTACAGTGGCCAAATTGCAACAGTTTGGGGTGACTATTTCTATGGTGGTATCTGCCTCAAAATGAATATTTTAGAGGGAATTTTAATTTTTTTTCTTATCACTTTTCATTATAAATTTCTTCTGCTTTTTTTTCGGAGAAGTTTTAACACCTCCATGGTTTCCAGTGGGCCTCTTTAATCATCACAGAGAGAGTCCTAGGCTAGAAGCGTGCCTTTTCTTTACCCTATGAAATTCTGTTCAGGTTTGGCCACAAGGTAACCTACTAAAATTGCCATTTTGATTGGTCTATGCATTTCATAATTTTTATTTTTCTATTATGCTTACATTTAACTTTTTGAGTAGTGAGTTCTAAAATGCCTAACCTCTCCTGGCTAAAGTAATTATCCCTATAGTAACTTTTAAAAAATATATATAATATCTAGGCTTTTTGTTTCTACTGGTGGTGCACATCTTCCCATTACCAAAGTGTACATAACAAACTTTATTCCACATATGGATGGAAAAAATTAGTGGGAACATTGCCTGGAGAAGCCTCTCCTCCAAACCACACTGCTGTTTGGACTTCACATCCCTAATTCTGGGAAGGAGAAGAAAGAGAAAGCCAGCTTCATTCTCCCTCCCTTGGATAGTAACTGTTTTTTGCTTCCAGCTAATGTACTTTGCTTAGGTCTTAGTCTGAAACTTTAGTACTGCAGCACAAGATTCAAATTTGGTGATTTTGTATGTTGAGTGGATATGTATAGTTTTACACAATATAATTCATTTTTATCTTAAAGTAGGAAATTACATATAAAATAAGATTTTTAAAATAAGGTTGCAAATTCAAGCACAGGAAAGTTAGGAAATGCCTAAATTAATGTCTGTGTAACTTTAATCTAGCTGTCTTGTATAGATGCATTATGCTGCAGACTTCAATAACATGATTGCATACTGTTTTTCCCTCAGGACCCATTTCTCATTCAGGGTGCAGGATACCTGCACAAGGAGACAGAATTTAGGCTGCAGGAGCAACTGTAAATCAGATGTTCCCTAATTTTAGAGGGCTTGTCTCTACAATGTAGATAAAATAATGTAGTTTATTTTGCACATGTAAAATATAAATACTAGTTTCATCTTTTTAAAAGGTGACAGGATAGTTCAACTCAGAATCTTTTCAGTTTTTAAAAGATGTGCATTTTTGTCCAGTCAGCTTAGCATCAATCAAATACATTTTAACACATTCAGGTAGGATAGGCTGAAACTTTGAAATTAGGGAATTACAAATGGTTAACCCGTTAACTTCACAGCCCACAGATGCTCAAAATACCCACAGCAGCACTATAGAGTCACCCCTTTGTGCACTACTGCATCCCTAGCACAGCCTCTAGAGTGACGCTTGCAAGAGACTGCTATAAGTCTTTCTTCAGCAACCCTAAGTGGCAGCGGCATGAGGGGAATTCTATGGTGCGTCTGCAGTCTCAATTAGGGATTTAAAATCCCATTTAGTTAACTGGTTAAATTACTTGTTTAACTGCTTAACTGATTAAACAAGGTTTTACATCCCTATTTGTAATAAGTTAAATACTGTAAAAGCCAATACGTGTGTACTAAATTAGAGGGTTCTTGTGTTTCACTTAGAGAATATCAAGCTTTCTGTTTTGGACAATATATATACCTTAAATGATTGCGGACCAAACATGCTTATGAAGTGATTCACATAATACGTGTTTTGTTCTTCCTTTTATTATCCTTTTGTGAATTTTCTGTCTAATTTTCTTTCCAAAGTTTTTCTCTTCCAGAAAAAATAATGGGATTTCTTGGGCGGGAAAAAATTGCACTTTTTACTGATCTAGCCTAAAACAAATTCCAGTGTTTTAATCAAACAACTGTGGCAAAGCTCTGGCCATGCCCCATGGGTCCTGCGCTTCTAGGCAATTACTCTATGCCTCGGAGGCTCACTAGGATCCTCCACATTGCCTCTTATCTTTTCTAGAGGCCAGAGCACAGCTCACTGAGCCATTCTCCGCATTTGCAAAGTCAAAGGATTAGAGGGAAAGTCCTCTGTAATCCTACCCTCCCTTTCTAGGATTTTTTAATGTTGATTTGGGGAGGGTTGGAGGGAATCCAGTCCCACCCACTACTCCGGGTTCTGGCCCAGGGACTCTAGGTAGCAGCAATTGACGGGGTTTTTGCTCTAGCCCAGGAGCGGACAAAAGGACCTCCATGGGCCGAATCCAACCCACCAAGTGAGTTGATCTGGCCTGCGGAGCCCCTGCTGCTCCCAGGCCAATCAGGGACTAACAGCCAGGGAGCGTGCAGAGCTTAGAGTCAACTAGAGTTGCCAGGTGTCCGGTTTTGAACCTGACAGTCTGATATTTGAGCTTTCTGTCTGAGAAACAAATTGAGAAAATGTCTGGTATTTTCTAATTAAGTTTTTATTATTATCATGAGCAGGGCTTGACAAACAGCGGCGAAATCCACTCCCCAACCCCGCACTGTGCATGCGCGAGACCCGCATTGCTCATGCATGTGCCGCCAGTGAACAGGGCAACTGGCTGAAATCTACTTGCCATGGGAGAGTAGATAAGCAGATTTGTTGAGCCCTGGTCATGTGAATCAGTTTTGGGAGGGGGTTTTTCTTCAGATAAAAGCAAAAATATTTTTGTTTATCATAGCCCAATTCCAAATTCCATATCTTTACTACCCATAATTGCAAATATATGGGATGAGTCAGAGGGAGAGCATCTGTCCTAAAGACATCTTTGAGATATCTTCCCTACAGCTTTCCATTTTAGAGTTTTGCAGCTTTATTATTTTGTACATGAATTGCTGTAAACTACTTGACCTATTTGCAAAATAGGCAGCCTCTTTCACCAGCCTGCTGATTCTGTTTTTCTGTATGATTTCATGAGAAACAATCCCATTTCAGGCACATCCCATTTTCTTGGCAAGCTGTATACTGAATTTGGTGGTCCTAGCTGTTGCCATTTATAGGGTTGCCAGGTGTCTGGTTTTGAACTGGACAGTCCAGTATTTGAGCTTTCTGTTTGGGAAACAAATTGAGAAAATAGAAATGTCCAGTATTTTCTAAATAAGTTGTAATGTAGTTTGTGATGTAATATCAAGTGTGTCCAGTATTTTTTTTTAAACCATCTGGTAACCCTAGAGACAACCCTGGTGGTTGACTCTATGCCCCTCCCCTCCCACTGGCCAATCAGAGCTTGGGAGCAGGGGGGAATGCGCAAAGCCTCTTCTAGCCCTGCAGGGAACACGCGGTGCATAGAAGTGCTTCATGCTCCTTACAGGAATGGGCTGGGGTGGGAGGAGACTTTTCATGCTCCCTCCCACCCTCAAGCCCTGATTGGCCTGGAGGTGGAGGGGAGCATGCAAAATCTCCTCCCACCATCAGGGGCGCAGACAGCTGGTGGCTCTCTCTGGGGGAGGGGCTGGGGCAAAGACTTTATGCACTCCCCCACCCCGAGACCAATCAGGGTCTGTGGCTGGGGAAGCATGGAAGTGTTCTGGCTCCGCCTCTTCCACCTGAGACCCTGCCTCTTCCACCTGATGCCCCACCCCTTCCGGGGCAGCCTGGAACCACTTCAAAAATTTCTGAAGTGGCCCCTGGTGAAAAATTATTGTCCACCCCTGCTCTAGCCCCAACACAGCAGCCTTTTCCCTGGGCCACTTCCCCCAACACTCCCCTAGTACCTTCACCCTGGTACTCTTTCCTTTCTCAGTTCTCCATAACACATTTCTTAATCTCAGTACTTCACTCTTCTCCTTCCCCCTTCCTTACCTGAGGGGAAAGCTTAAAGTAACCCAGCAGGCCTTAATTGGCTGAAGGTGCCTGATTAGCCTGCTGCTACAGGCAAGCTCTTAATTAGCCTCAGGTGCCTGCCTTCCTTGGCTAGGTTGTAGCAGTTTATTCAGGAAACAGAAACACATTCACCCAGGTCTTGGTATGTCTACCCTCCGTCAAACTATTGTAGCCAGCTGTGCTGGGTCTGTCACACAACATAAACAAAATTTATTACAGAAGGTAATAATCTAACATACTTTGGTGCATAATCTAACGTACTTGATTGAGAAGTATTTATTCATTTTGAAAGTATCAAGTTGATAGGTAAAATAATTTAATCGAGATAATGTTCATTTGAAAGATTTGGAGCTTTGTTTTAGCCAGTTGTAACTTTCAGTAATGTGTTCATGTAGCTGTTGGAGTTAATTTTGTGTTTTGATCTTTTGAAGCTCATGTGGAAAATGAAGAACAGTACACCCAAGCATTGGAGAAATTTGGAGGCAACTGTGTCTGTAGGGATGATCCAGGTTTGGGGACAGCATTTTTAAAATTTTCTGTGTTCACAAAGGAGTTGACTGCTCTCTTCAAAAATTTGGTAAGAAATGGTCTAAAATAAGACATTGTTATTATTGGAACTATATTAGAAAGAATTATACATATTAGACGGTTCAGATGTATGCATTTTTTGTGATCTACAATTGTTTATGTTGAAGAAAATTTAGAGTTCTGGAGACCAGTGTTTTCTACTTCCCTAAGAATACAAACCTTGACTTGAACCAGTTTTCCACATCTCTACCTTTGTCTCCTTCAGATCCACAGTTGAAACACATAATGTTCATTATTAAATGGCAGCAGCAAAAAAGCTATTTAAAACTGTTAAATTAACCAAATATTATCTGTGTTCTACTGCATGTTCACTTTGATTTTATCTTCCCTGTACATATTGCCTTTGTATTATGTAATTGGATTGTAAGCTTTTGGAGAACAGATGGTCTTCTTACTTGCCTGTAAAGAGCATAGCCCATTTTTGGCACTCTTCAGATTGTAAATAACAAAGGTTCAATGCTGCAAATGCAGAGCACGTCAAGTATTACTGAAGTCATTTGGCGTTGAGAGCACTCTGTCTTGCAAGAGAGGGCCATTTTGTATTTGTTCTACATGCACAAAGTGAACATGCAAATATAAAAAACTTAAATTGCAAGACGCAGATTCTTTGCTCCCTCTTCTTGTTTTGCATTACTCAGAGGGCACAGTCAAAGAATGAAAGCTGGCAACATCCTCCTGACTGTGATTCCTGTAGGATGGATGAGTCCCAATTCCTCATGGAGCCAATCAAAGCTAACTTTTATGTTCTCCTTCCCAACGTTTCTGTATAGCAGTCAGCAAGGAGAAATATCCAGTGTGAGATGTTCTTCAGCTATGCTTAGCTAGCAGTGGTCTCCTGGGGACTCTTTACAGCTGATGTTAACTTAGGGGAGCATCCAGCAGTAATTGGCTCCCTGATAGGGATGTAAAATCCAGTTTTATTGGTTAATGGTTAAACATTGTTTAATGGATTAAAACTGATTAAAGGGGGAATGGCCTGCCATCCCACCGTGGCTGGATTGGAGTGGCCCCTCATCACAACCAACCAGACTACTGGTGGGCCCCATCGGATTGAAGAAACTCCCTGCCCACAATGGGCAGGGAGTTCCTCCAGCCCCTACTGGTGAACCAGAACCAGTAAGCCTCACCCTTTAATGGGTGAGGCTTACTGGTTAACCATTCACGCCCCCTACTCCTTGATGCTGTCCCCTCTCTGCTCCACCAAGCATGATCTTGGTGAGATAAAGAATGCAGCCTTGAATGTATTAGCAACTGAAATATATTTCACATTGAACTTGAATATCTCCAGATGTGGGGTATGATATTTCTGAGATTAAGGGCCAGTTTTTGCTACTTCTACTTGAGTTAGTTCCTTGGCATAGGATCATTTACTGAAATTAGCAGACCTACTCATAAAATAGCAGTGGAGAAGCTGAAATTATTAATGTATGTTTCTAAAGATACTTTTAAATCAAGCCAAATAAATGCGATATTATACCAGGAAAAAGTAACAACTGTTCCTAGTAAAAGAATTAATTACTACAATTACAAAATGGGGTGGTTTAATGGCATAAGAATAATAGGGTAGTATTTATATACTACTTTCAATCCAAAAGTCTGGGTCTCCATTACCAAGGAAGAATCTGTAGATAGAACCCTGCAAATCTGCGGATGTGGATATCCGCAGATGTGAATGTGGATATTCGCAGCTCATTTTTTGCAGATACGGATGCAGATACAAAATTTGTATCTAGAACACTGAAGATTTGCTGATATCCACTTTATATCCTCAGAGGAAAATGCAGATATCCACGGCTCATTTTTGAACGTATGGATGCGGATCCAGATACCAATTTTGTATCTGCGCAGGCCTCTACCTGTATGTTTTGTGTGACATGTTCAGGCTCTTTTAAGATCATTATGAGAACTGATTGTAAGAGAGTAATTTCATTATTATATTCATCTTCCTTCAGCAAAATGAAAAGCAGTGTTTCTAAATTTTGTTGCTTTGTTCTGGCTTCTTGCTGTTAGCAGTTTATTTTTCTTGCTTCAATTTATGGTAGATAAGAAAAGCACATGTGATTAATTGGCAGCAAAGTCTTTTATTCTTCTCATTTTATTATTCTAATTTTCAGGGCTTGCCGAATGGCGGCAAGCCCCGCTCACCAGCTGTGCGGTTCTGCGCTCTGTGCATGCACAAATCACTCTGTGCCGGCTCTTCCGGAGTGTAATCTACTCGCTACGGGCAAGTCGATTACATTGTTTGTCGAGCCCTGCTAATTTTCTGTATTGGCCGAGTGCCAATATATATTTTCTCTCTCAGAGAAATTTGGTGGCTCCTCCTATTGTCTCGTTATCTTTTATTAGGGGAGACTAAGGGGATTCCAGCAGGTAAATCCCTCTTCCTCTGCTGCAGGTAGGCAAGGGATGTGCCCCAATGGATAGCTCCTTTCTTTATCTGATGTGCTCCACACCTCTGAAGTTTGAAGTTGTTTGCTTTCTGTAAAAGGAGAACTAAAGAAATATAGACGTCTATTGTTACCTGAGTTTCAGATACTGAGCAGGAAAAGTTTAAATTCTTACTTCAAAAAACTATTAAATATATAAGCATGAAGAAACACAAACTATAAGGTTTTTTGAAAATCACTTACTTATGAACATAAACTTCTTGGACTGTGTTTCTTTAATTTTTCTAGTCTTAAATTCATAACACCTGAATAAATTCTTCACCCTTATGGAAGTATCCTACTTTGAAAATCTTCTTCAAAAGAGCGTGGATTACAAATGATTGTTTAAATGGAGTTTATAAGAGACTGTCTCTAAGGAATGCTATAGTATTCTGAATAAACTTTACACAGATGTTGCTGGACTAGAGTGTCCCAGAGGCAGGAGCCATGTGGGGGCCAGGAACTTGCTAGGCTGGCTACAGGAGGCCAAGCAGCTGGGATCCCTGCTGAGAGAGTTCGGCTGAGCCAGTGGCAGGGCAGCGGAAACTCCAGTGGGCTAGGTCTGCTGTGGCTGGGCTGGGAGCCCTGGCGGTGGGACCACAGGCTGCTGCAGAAGAGCCAGTGCTGCCGCAGTAGGACTCGTGGGGCTGGAAACCCTGTGACTGAGAAGTAGTTTGCTGGGGCAGCGCCAGGAGCTCTGGTGACAGAAGCACAAGCTGGCAGGGTTGTCACTGCCGCAGTGGGGCTGGGAGCACCAGCGGCGAGGCAGCAGTCTGCCGTGGTGGAGCTGGAAGCTCCAGAGGTGGGACTGTGATCTGCTGTGACAGGGCAGCGGGTTGGTAGCAGGTGAGGAGCCAGCTGGAAGGCCAGTTGGGAGTGGAGCCAGGCTGTGGGGTCAGTGGTAGGGGGTAGAAATGACCTCTTCTGGTCCGGCAAAATCCCCTTGTTTGGGATCACTCAGGTCCCAAGGGTGCCAGACCAGGGAGATCCAGCCTGTATTATTATTTAAGTATTGATGCCTTTTATACAATACAGCACCTTAGTGTGCATTTCATGTTTCTTTAGACTGTGGTAAACTATACTGATTTGAAAGTTTCGCACCCCTTGCATGTCAGATTGAAGTATTTTCAGTATCTTTTCCCCATCCATCCTCCGTCTTTCCCCCCAGAAGAAAACCCTTTTGGTTTATCTCCTTGCTCAATGAATTGTGTACAGTATGAAAAAAAAAATTGAAGCATTTGGCATCAAAAATGAATGTACTGACATTAATTTAACATCCAAGGTGTTTCAGTTGTAAAGAGGTTCTTTTATGTTTTATGCTATACAAGATGCTGCAAACCGTCTTTTTAATCACTGATGTTCTTTAGTTTCATACAGCACTTTTAAAAGATTTTAGAAAAGATGCTAAAAGAATGAGGAGTGATATTCAGGGAAGAGAGAAGATGAGCTCAGACTTGAACAGATGACAAAGATAGCATAATTTGAGGTTTAGTGTGAGAGGAGTGCACACAGAAAAATGATATTTTTTTCTTGATGCAGTTCTGTTACACCATCTCTTACTCTCAATGCAATGTGTATATTTGCACTAAGCTAAAATTTAACACAGTGCCTAGACAGCATGGCCCACATCTGAACATTGTGCCTGAATCATATGAGATTAAACCCTTTATAGAGGTTTACTGGAATCCGCTACAGTAAACTTCTGATAATCCAGCACCTTTAGGACCCAGGGGGTGCCGGATTATCAGATATGCCGGACTATAGAAAGGGGGGCTATGAGGGGTCTGGAGTGGAGTGGGGGTGCTGCGCCCCTCAGCGCTGCGGGACTAACCTGGCAGCACCCCCGCTGCTCTGCCCCAGACTTCCCCAAGTCAGCCGCTGCTGAAACTGACCAGTGGCTGACTTGGGGAAGCTGGGGACGGAGCAGCTCCAATTGTCCGGCTGCCCAGAGCACTTCTGATGGTCCGGCACCATCTGGAACCAGGAGTGCCGGACCATTGGATGCTGGACCACTGGAGTTTTACTGTACCATTATCTTACATATTAATTTTTGCTTTAGTTATTTTATTTAATTAAAATATTATGTGAATGTGGCTCATGGTATGGTATTTAAATAAAAAAATTGTGCTGTCTTTTTTCTTTTCTAAATGAAATGATTTTCCTTATTTTGTGTGTGTGATATTTTGCTTGTTCTTAAATATTATGTCTTTGTAAAATCTTCACTATATTTTTCAAAAGTAATATTGTTGTTTTAAAATAAATTGTTCTTGCATACTTCTTTGTAATCTTAGCCCTTTAAGAATGCATGTTAGTACATTATATATCCAAACATTCTAAGGCTAGATGCTGCTTCCTTAAAGTGGAATAGTACCTTGTTCTGTTAGTATTCCTGGCAATATAAATTGGGCTCAATGCAGGATAAGGTACTAGTCAACATGATTAAGGGTGACAATCTCTGACCTTAAATTGATAACCTATAAGGTCTTGATCCTACAAAGATTTGATATATATTTTTAATTATATGAATTAAATAGTTCCATATAGTTCAATGGGACTGCTCGCATACTTAAAGTTAAATATACACAGTACTCTATACTGGTATGGTTTAAAAGACTGGAAAATAGATGATCAGCAATAATAGGCCAAAATATATTAAATCTAGAAAAACTATATTACATTTTAAACAGACAAACACCAGAAATTAATGGTCTCATTTTGCAATCACCACTGGATGTTGTGCTTACTAACATCCCAACCAGAGGCACTTTGCATGTTTGATAGTGTTTGCACATATGGGTTCTAAAGTTTTCAAAGTGTCTTTATTCAGTGACGTATATATCTTCAAATACTGGTTGTACTGATAATTACTTGCTAAACTGTATTAGGAAGAAAAAAATAAATTCAAGTATTGAGTGAAACAAAAGAATGTACATTTTTCATTATATTCTGTTAATCTTTAGTGTAACTTTAATTTTTGTTACAGATTCAAAATATGAACAACATAATCACTTTTCCATTGGACAGTTTGCTGAAAGGAGACCTAAAAGGAGTGAAAGGGGTATGGTGATAATTTTATTTGTTTTTAAAAAGTTATTTTTGGTGCATCACATACATATAGGTAATGTGTCAGTTCAATTTTAGATGAGAAAATACAAATGTTAGTACTACTTCACTACCCAATATCTATGGAATGCCCTTGACATCAGCTGTGAACTAAGTCACTTCTTGGCCCTTGTGACTTAGCTACAAAACCGGAGGACAGAGTTCCTTGAGAAGGTGTTATAATCTTGAGGCTATGGCAGAAGAATGCTAGGATTATTTAGAGTGCTGATAAAATATGTGAAAATAAATGCTTAAGAACTTGTGTTTAATTTAAAAGGATTACTATTAACATTATATAGTATTGTAAACTTCCTGGAGTTTTACATGTGAGTACAGGCAGTCCCCGAGTTACGCGGATCCGACTTACGTTGGATCCGCAGTTACGAACGGGGTTTGCTCCGCGTCTCCCTGGTCCGCTGGAGACAGCGTCTGGGCTGTCCTGCTGCCCGCGTGCTCCACGGCTTTGCTGCGCATCTCCCTGGTCTGCTGGAGACCAGCAGACCAGGGAGACAGGTAGCAAAGCCTCTGAGGACGCCGGCAGCGGGACAGACGCGGCGCGTCTGGGCTGTCCCGCTGCCCGCGTGCTCCGCGGCTTTGCTCCGCGTCTCCCTGGTCTGCTGGTGACCAGCAGACCAGGGAGACGCGGAGCAAAGCCGCGGAGCACGCGGGCAGCGGGACAGCCCAGACGCGCCGCGTCTGTCCCGCTGCCGGCGTCCTCAGAGGCTTTGCTTCCCGTCTCCCTGGTCTGCTGGTCTCCAGCAGACCAGGGAGACGGGC